CAGTGCTGGAAGTCTTCTTTGGTGAGGGCTTTTAGGAGCTCTGCCGTTTTTTGCTTTACCGCTTCCATCGACTCAAATCGGGTCCCTTTCAATGCAGATTTTATCTTTAGAAACAAAAAATGTCGCATGGTGCCAAATCTGGCGAGTACGGCGCGTGTTCGAGCACTGGAGTGCGCTTACCGGCCAAATATTGCTTCACAGATAGCACGTTATGGGCAGGTGCATTGTCCTGGTGCAAAATCCACGAGTTGTTCTTCCACAACTCGGGCCGTTTCTTACGAACTCTTTCTCGCAATGTTGCCAAAACTGATAAATAGTAAATCTTGTTGACAGTCTGACCCTCTGGAACCCATTCATTCATCACGATACCGTTAATGTCAAAAAAAACGATCAACATTGCCTTAAATTTTGATTTGGACCTCCTTGCTTTTTTGATTCTGGGCAATTCAGGTGTCTTCCAATGCATCGATTGTCACTTTGTTTCAACATCGTATTGAAAAATCCATGTTTCGTCTCAAGTTATAATGTTTTTCATCAGTCCGGGATCTTCTTTTAACTTTTCAAGGAAATCTGAGCAGACCTGTTGACGCAAGAACTTTTGGTCAGGAGTCAGGTTTTTTGGCACCAACTTCGCACAGACTTTTGTCATATGTAATTCCTCATGTAAAATTTGTCTAACCGTTTCTTTATCGGCGTTTACAGCCTCAGCAATCATCCGGATGCTCATTCGACGATCTGCACGCACAATCTGGTTGATTTTGGTCACTGTTTCCGGAGTTTAAACAGTGACAGGGCGACCTGGGCTCTGGTAATCTTCAGTGCTCTCTCGGCCCACACTGAAGCGCTTATACCACTCAAAAACACGTGCACGAGATAGAGAATTGCCTCCATAGGCCCCTTGCAACAATTTATAGCACTCAGTTGGAGTTTTTTTTTAATTTAACGAGAAATTTGAGATTTATACGTTGCTCCTGTTTTTCGTCACACATGGTTTTCGGCACGAG